ATAGATAGATAGATAGATAGATAGATAGATAGATAGATAGATAGATAGATAGATACATAGATACATAGATAAATAGATAGATAAATAGATACATACTAGCAATTCTCAAATAGAAAGGTATTTTATGTATTTTTGTCCATTCTCATGGAATAGAAACAGAAAACGCAACTCGCTAAAGTCACACCCTGCCTTCCTATCACAATACACTGGATCACCTTTCGGACGTAACAGCTTGCAAGCTAATCGCTGTACCTTTCCTGAGAAGCTCATGATAACCCCACCCACCACCACAGTGAGTGCATACAGCCCGCGGCTGTGGCCAGTTCCATTCACGCAATTATTATTTATTTATGTTTAGGCGTACTTTTCAAAACTTGGAACTTTCCTAATCAATTGATAGATACCTAGATAGCTACAAGGTAGATAGATGGATTGATGGATAGATAGACATATAGCGTGTTTGTGTATGTGTGTGCGCGTGTATGTGTATGTGTGTGTATGTGTACATGTAAATCTACTTGTGTTTGTGTGTGCCGGTGTGTGTGTGTGTGTGTGTGTGTGTGTGTGTGTGTGTGTGTGTGTGTGTGGGTATGTGTGTGTCTAAGCTTTTATCTATATAATATCTATCTCTGTATCTATCTTTCTATCTATATGTTCAGAAAAGAATAACACACATACATAACAATATTCATACACATTTCACATCATATCACTCCTATTTTATGACTTTCATTTTAAAAGGCATATTATCTAACATTTTACAAGTGAATGGGACGGGCGAATGGTTCAATTACCGCTTTGATCTTGGTCTCGGTTCAGTGACAACATTAATAAAGCTACACAACATCGGATCTATATAAATGTCTCTAATAAATGATGCGTTTTTATGTTCGTACTTTGATAGTGAACGAAGTTTGTTTAGCAACACATTTTGCACGAATGTCAAAAACGCTTTACAAGGGTTAACTCCCCGCAAGCGAAATCAGAGTAATTTTGTTGCCATTATTTGCTACCGGAATACTGCATTATGAGGTTAAGATCAGACTTTTTAAAGATGTAGATTTATACGTTTTTACGCCCCCATCAATACGATTGAGATCATTTAAGAAGGCGGGCCTCGTCCTTGGACCTCAAGGAGACTCGGGCTGAGAGCGAAACAACGTTTCAGCAGAATGTAGATATTGCATGCAGAAGAAGGGAGTTCGATCGATTTCTATCATTAAAACAATTTATTTATGTAGGTAT